AAGATGCAGAGTTTGTCTGATTAAATTGAAAAGATTTATGAACTCCATCCAGAAAGACTAATAAGATGGCAGTTGATTGGATCAGAGAATATTTTCATGGGGTGGTCCTGGGGTCAGGATTGTCAGCATGGGAATAAAGATTTGGTTGTATAGTTCTCAGCTGTTTGTAAAACATTCTTCATGTGCATTAAGTTTGGTTTATGCACATAGTCCCATGTGGTCAGCACCTGGGGAAACTGAGTCTCCCATAAGTTCAGTACCCTTAGCCACACCTACAGAACGTGGTAAAATCTGGATGCTAGCAAGCACTTACTGCTGCAAGTTGAGAGCTCTCTCTAAATGGGAAGCATATTTTTCTCTCTTTCTTCACCCTCCATGGAATACAGGAATGGAAACCTAGGTTGAGAAGTCCAAAATCACGCAGGCTAGAAGAAATACGTGCGAGTTGTACTTATAAGATAGTCTTCTGACACAGCACCCTGGTACAACCTCAGGAACTTCCCAGGTCAGCCCACGTGTCCTGATGTTCCTGCATCTGCACAGTAACTATAAATGTAAGAAGGCCAAGTGTGCCAGCAGCAGGCTGATTGCTACAATGTGTTCTCAGCCTTTATGCCCAAGAGCATGTCACTGACTCCCTCCTGCAGCAAGAAGCCCAAGCAGAGGCTGAGAAGTTATTTGGGGGCAGGCTGGGGAAGGAGGTAATGTTAGGGAGGTAGTAGGCTGGATGTGTTTACAACTCATTTCCACTCTGACTGTAGAGCAAAGGCCACCTGGGCTTGGATCCACGTTGAAATAAATGTGCCAAGACTTGGAAAATTCCCAATATGCTAAAACTTAGACTCAGTTCCCAGAGGTAGAAGTGGGTACAAGAAGTGGGTACAAGGTCATTCTCTGGGCAGGATACTTTCCTCAGATGGCCTGGTTCTGCTCTTAAGAGAGTAGAATTGCTCATGGAGGTGTTTATTTCTGCCCTCTTTTCCTCTTCCTTTTATCCTTCTGTATTTAACAAATACCTGAAAGTTGCGTATTCTACAGTGACCTAGGCCTTTTGAATTACAGGTATAGGCAGTATTGACCCTACCTTTAAGATGCTCAGATACAAGAAAAAAAAAAAACCATTAAAAAGTGGGCAAAGGACATGAACAGACACTTCTTCAAAGAAGACATTTATGTGGACAACAAACATATGAAAGAAAGATCAACATCACACTGATCATTAGAGAAATGCCAATCAAAACCACAATAAGATACCATCTCATGTGAGACCGAATGGTGATTATTAGGAAGTCAAGAAACAACAGATGTTGCAAAGGCTGTGGAGAAACAGGAACGTTTTTATACTATTGGTGGGAATGAAAATTAGCTCAACCATTGTGGAAGACAGAGTTCCTCAAAGACCTAGAACCAGAAATGTCTTTTGACCCAGCAATCTCATTACTGGGTATATACCCAAAGGAATATAAATTATTCTATTATAAAGATACCTGCATCTATATGTTCACTGCAGCACTATACACGATAGCAAAGACACGGAATCAACCCAAATGCCCATCAGTGATAGACTGGATAAAGAAAATGTGGTACATGTACACTATGGAATACTATGCAGCCATAAAAGGAACAAGATCATGTCCTTTGCAGGGATATGGATGGAGCTTGAAGCATTATCTTCAGCAAACTAACACAGGAACAGAAAGAAAATCAAACACCGCATGTTCTCACTTATAAGTGGGAGCTGAATGATGAGAACACAGATACAGGGAGGGGAACAACACACAGTGGGGCCTGTCAGGGGGAAAGGGGAAGGGAGAGCATCAGGAAAAATAGCTAATGCATGCTGGGATTAACACCTAGGTGCAGCAAACCACCATGGTACACGTTTACCTATGCAATAAACCTGCACATCCTACACGTGTACTCCAGAACTTAAATTATAAGAAAAAAGAAAACAAAAGATGCCTGGATGCTCAGACACATGGGGACATTTATAAATCAGGGATTTGATATCTCTGTCTGTGATTGTTCATTTTATGTGTCAGCTTGGCTGGGCCATGATGCCCAGATATTCTGGATGATTCTGTGAGGGTCTTTTTGCATGAGATTAACATCTGGGGTAAAGTATATCACCCACCATAACATGAGTGGGCCTCATCCAAGCAGCTGAAGGTCTATATAGAACAAAAAAGACTGACCTCCCTCAGCAAGAAGGAATTCTGCAGCAGACCACCTTTGGACTTGAACTGAAAAATCAGCTCTTCTCTTGGTCTCCAGCTTGCCAGCTCACCCTGAAGATTTGGGACTTGCCAACCTCCATAACATATGAACCAATTCCTTAAATTCTTTTTCTACATATATACATCTGAGTGGTTCTGTTTCTTTGGAGGATCCTAAGACACCCTCCAATGTCACCTCCTTGGTTCATGCCTATAGCATCTCTTGCCTGGATCTCCTTTCCCATCTTCCCTGTGGCTACCGGCATTCTCTCATGAAGCACAGATCTGAGTAGTTGTTTTGCTTACAGTCCTTCCAGATGCCCCATCTTCCCCAACCAATGCCTTCTAACTTAGTCATCTTTGCACTAGCACCTTCTTGATTTTTGTTATATCAGACTTTCTCTTTGTGGGCATCAAAAGGAGAGAAACAGAACTGAGAAAGAACTGAATTTCCTCTTTATATTATTTAGTATCACTCAAGATTGAATTCATATTTAACACTATCAGAAGTATTCCATCCCACATTTTAGGGAATGTTGGTTACAGAATAAAACCCATTCTCCTTTACATGGCCTTGAAGGTCTTTTAGCATTAATAAGTGCAGTTATCTCTTGGTATCCATGGGGTACTGGTTCCAGGAGCCTGAAGATACTCAAATCCCTGTTATAAAATGAAACAGCATTTGCATATAACCTGTGCATATCCTCTCACATACTTTAAGTCATCTCTAGATTACTTATAATACCTAATGCAATGCCTACTCATCACTGCATTTGTGTGTATTCAGTGTTGTAGTTGGCACATGGCAAATTCAAATTTTACTTTATGGAACTTTGAAAATTTTTTTTTCTGAATATTTTCAATCCACAGTTGGTTGAATCCACTGAACTCACAGATACAGGGATACAGAGGGCCAGCTCTATGTATTAAGTGTTGGCAATGTTCCAGGCACCAAGCAATTCATCTTTAGTCCTTCCTCCAAAATGCAAAGTGATCCCCTGTACCACTCTCTGAGAAGTATGCCTTTTTGCTTTGTTCCTGAACTCATTCGGGAGCTCTGAAATCCAGCTCCTCTTTGTAAAACTGTCTCCCAAGTGTTCCCTCAACCCCCAGTAGTTACTGTTTTCTGTAATAAGATTTATTGTTGTCACACTGCAAATATTAGGTAGATGCAAAAGTAATTGCGATTTTTGTCATTGTTTTTAATAGCAAGAACCGCAATTACTTTTCCATCAACCTAATATTTGTTTTTCTACCTGGCTGAAGCTCACGGGAGAAGGAGTATATCTTATTCATTGTTAGGAATTTTCAAGGGGACCTCTCTATTTCCTGCCTGGTTTCTGCATACAATGAGAAATAAAAGACAGGAGAGCTGGGGATCACACTATTACTTTTTTTTTTTTTTTTTAAGATCAAGGCTGAATTAAAGAATTTAGCTTTAGCATGAGACTAAATAGTCCTGTTAAGTGAATCCAGAATTAGGCTGTCTCACAGGCTATGTGAGGACCACATAGGACTAGGCAGGCTTCCCACAAAGGGTAGAAGAGTCCGTCCTTGGAGAAGTGGCTCAGTAAACTTGCTCCCTGGAAAGCAGCTCTTTTCCAGGAGAAAGAAGGGCAGGCTTGGTTCTATAGCCCAGTGTTTTCCTTTGCATGTTTGCCAATCAGAGGCTCATAGAGAAAAATCTCCCTTCATCCAGCCATGGAGTGAGGCAGGGGTGTTTTACCTGTTGGATTAAACTCTCAGATTGCACAGAACACACAATTTCAGAAAACCAGAGGGACAGGCCCACAGACATTAGCTATCTTGACCAGTCCTCTCATTTTACATATGAGAAGACTGAGGCCCAAAGAGAAGGTACTTGCCCAAGGTCACTTCATTCTCACCTGAGTGGTCTATAACTTTAATCTGTAATTTTTGAAGCAGATAGGTACCATTGATTCATATGGATTAATATTGCCTGCCACCCCTTGGCAATGCTGCCAAAATTATCAGCCCCATTCTCGAGTGCTTACTCAGCTAGAAACCTGGGATCCAGGTGCTGTAAGGTAGGCCCCTGGGATATCTTGGCACGGCGCTGTAATTGTGGATTAAGGAAACCTGGTCCTTGGCTAACTCAATTCTCTCCACATAATAAAAAGAGGGAGAAGTGAAATGTCAGGAGGAAATACACATTTAATGCATTTTAAAGAGCCCTGTTTATTTTTGAGTCCTGGCCTTTTTTTTCTGACTTAATTCTTGGCCACTGTAAATTACTTCAAAAATGATTTTAGAATAGGGAAGGGGCAGGGAGGCTTAGAAGCTGTCTTTAACATTTTATCTTCTTTTGGTATCATTTAGGATCTTAATTCTGAAGCACGACAAGGAGGCAGAAACGGCTCTTGGCCGCAGACAAGCAGAATCACTTTAAATGAAGATAAGAGTGTTGTGCTTCAGAATTTCTCCTAAAGCTACCGAAAGAATGAAGACCTCTCCCAGCGCTGCACAGAATAGAGGGCATTTCTAATTCCTCATTAACAGGAATAGGAACGAAAGTATTCCAAAGCAAGGATCTGCTCTTGTTCACTGCTAAAGCCACTACATCAAGCTGGAGGTGTGGGAGGAGAGAAAGGCTGAAATTAACATCATGTTTGGAAAATAATCAGTTAAAATGCTTTTGTAACTTCATCACTACCCGGGGAAAAACGTCAGGAGCTTCTAAACCAAGAAAGGAAGAAACCGGGCGGGTTATTTACGAGTTCCTTCCCTCTTGCAGTTTTAAACCACTGCAAAATACACCCATTTGTTAAGGCTCTGGACCAACGCTGGGCGAACCAGCTTCGCTCCGCAGGTGTCTGCGCGGCTGGCCTCGCTCTCCCCCTAGCGGACCCGTGCGATAGTGCATTCTCGGCTCCAGCGCACAGAGCCGCATCCAGGAACTGTTCGCGCGCGCAGCCTTGGCGCTGCTCGCTGGCCGCCTGCACGCGTGCAGCGACCAGCCAGGCTGCAGCCAGGGGATTCCAACTGAGGCTCCAGAGTCAGAGACTTCAGCCTAGCATCACATTAGGTGCAGGCGGCCGGCCATCCCAACCCGGGCCGGGAGCGCACGCGTCACTGGGGCCGTCAGTCGCGGTGCAACTTCCCCGGGGAGTCAACTAGGTTCACCTGCGGACTCGGTGCAGGTAGCTGGGTGCTAAGTAGGGGTGGACGGGATGGCTAGGGCTGATGGAGCCATCGGGACCCCAGTGGAGGTGGGTGGGGGGTGAGTGCCTTGCACTCCTGGTTCCTGGAGGAATGTGGGGTGTTCCGAGAGATCGTAAAGTGACTGCTCAGGATTGAGACCCAGAGTCCTTGACTGTCTGGGTCCAAAGCGCACGTCGAGGGTTCCTGAACGTTGGCTGGGCAGAAGCCCCGCAAGAGGTGTCTATGCCAGGGTCTGGGAACAGCACTTGGGCATCCTGGGCTTTGAGGCAGGGGTTCTCCCAGGAGGGACTGCGAAACCGGTGTTCCACGGAAGCAGGTGCTGTGGAAGTTCAGCGAGTGACAGTAAAGAGGGTTAGACGGGGGTGGCCCTGAGCTGGGGTTTTCCAAGCAAGGGGCTGTTTGGGGATGCCCGGAGGAAATACTTGAATTAACATTTATTAGGAGAGGGGCTGGTTTGGGGGTCCCGCGGAGGTGGGTGTGCTGAGGGTAGGGGCGTGGGGCAGGCAGGGAGTTTGGAGATCCCTCGAGGAGATGGTTTGGTTGTAGATTCCCAATCCCGGAGGAAAGTGGCTGATTTTGACCCTCCCTTCTCCCCCAGTGGAAGCTGCTGAACTTCCCAAGGAACGGGCGCCCTGGGGGCTCTGGGCTTGTGGCTGGTAGGGGATTCCCGCTCATTTGCAGTGGCTCAGAGGAGGTACCTCTCCCCCGCGGCCGGCTGTTGTGCCCCGTGTTTCAGATGACTTGGGTTCCTGGGAACGGGGCAAGCGCTCCCTACCCGCGTCTGAAGAGAAACGCGGCGGTCTCCTCACGGCCCTCCCGCTTTGTTTCAGGGTGGACCCAGCAGATCTGTCTGTGGAGTCTCCAGGACTAGAATCCCAGGCGCCGCCCTCCGACACGTGAGACCCCGCCGTACCACACCGTAAAGGGCTCCAAGACCCGGGCGCACCGCGGCCGCCGGGATCATGGAGGGCGCGTTCGCAGCCAACTGGAGTGCCGAGGCGGTCAACGCTAGCGCCGCGCCTCCGGGGGCCGAGGGCAACCGCACCGCCGGGCCCCCGCAGCGCAACGAGGCTTTGGCTCGCGTGGAGGTGGCGGTGCTGTGTCTCATCCTGTTCCTGGCGCTAAGCGGGAATGCGTGTGTGTTGCTGGCGCTGCGCATCACGCGCCACAAGCACTCACGCCTCTTTTTTTTCATGAAGCACCTGAGCATTGCCGACCTGGTGGTGGCTGTGTTTCAGGTGCTGCCGCAGCTGCTGTGGGACATCACCTACCGCTTCTACGGGCCCGACCTGCTGTGCCGCCTGGTCAAGTACTTGCAGGTGGTGGGCATGTTTGCCTCTACCTACCTGCTGCTGCTCATGTCGCTGGACCGCTGCCTGGCCATCTGCCAGCCGCTACGCTCGCTGCGCCGCCGCACCGACCGCCTCGCCGTGCTCGCCACGTGGTTTGGCTGCCTGGTGGCCAGCGTGCCGCAGATGCACATCTTCTCGTTGCGCGAGGTGGCTGATGGCGTCTTCGACTGCTGGGCCGTCTTCATCCAGCCCTGGGGACCCAAGGCCTACATCACGTGGATCACGCTAGCTGTCTACATCGTGCCGGTCATCGTGCTAGCCACCTGCTACGGCCTTATCAGCTTCAAGATCTGGCAGAACTTGCGTCTGAAGACCGCTGCAGCAGCGGCGGCTGAGGCGCCAGAGGGCGCGGTGGTTGGCGCTGGGGGGCGCATGGCCCTGGCGCGTGTCAGCAGCGTCAAGCTCATCTCCAAGGCCAAGATCCGCACGGTCAAGATGACTTTCATCATTGTGCTGGCCTTCATCGTGTGCTGGACGCCTTTCTTCTTCGTGCAGATGTGGAGCGTCTGGGATGCCAACGCGCCCAAGGAAGGTAGCCAGGGCTGGGAGACCCAGGAGGAAGGAGCCTGGTGGTTGGGGGAGGCCATGTCCTGCTGCCTCAGAACGTCCAGGGGTCTGTGGACTTCCTGGGGGTTAAGCGGGTTTGAAATCCCATAGAGTCACTGCTTCATCATCCCTTGACCAAGTGACTTAGGGCAATTAACCTACCCCAGCTTTTACTTTCTCTTGGGTAAGGTGGCAGTAAAGGCAAAAGTACCAGCTGTCACCAGGCAGTAGGGGAATGCCATGAGAAAATGCAGTTAAAGTCGCTAGCACAGCCCTTGGGCTGCATGTGGGCTGTATGGTTTATTACCATGGTGGAGGAAACAGGTTCAACTCCATCTGCTTTCCCACGTGCTTAGGAGGAGGTGGCAGAGGTAAGTTTTGAACCCCTGGCCAAGCTCAAGCTCCTTCAACTTTAAGTGCATGTTAAGCTGAACTTCCACTTTAAGTTCAAGAAGTCCACTTTGAAGCCAAGAAGTCTGGTTTGGACAAGGACAGCCTTGCAGGGGTGGGCAGTTTGTCCAACCAAGCACCTAGTAGTTGAAGAGGGTGTTGTGGGAGAAGAGGATTCCAAGAGGAAGGTGAAGACAAATCCCTGAACCCTTCATCGAGTGGAGGTGGTGAGTCTCTAGGCAGAGTACTGCAAGGAGCGCTGGGTAGGTAGGCTTAGGGAGGAGAGCACCCAGGACTGAGACTTCACTTCCACTTGGGGGAAAGAGAAGGGAGCTGGGAGGTGGACATTCAGGTTTGAGGGGGAGGCTCGGTGATTTCTGTAGGTGGGGAATATGCCTTCCAGGATGGAGGACTGCTGAGGACAAGGCTGAGGGTGGAGCTGCTGTCCATTCTTGGCTTGTGCCAGAAGGCTAGGAGGAGGGCATAGAAGAAGGCAACCTACGGAGAATGCTTGGAGGAACAAAGGCACCCTGGGGCTCTGGTGTTTATGGCTGGCGCTGGATGGCTGTCCCTAAGGCGTAGAGCACCAGGCAGCTTCCCGTCACTCCCTGCCTGCCAACCCCATTCCAGTAGCTTATTTGGAAAGAGAGCGGGAGGGGTGATTGCTGGTGGTGAATGACTTATGCGTTTTTGTTTGAACGTAATTCCATAATACGTGCTGGATGCTGGGGACTTCAAAGGTTTGTAAAGAAAGACCAAGGGATTTGCTTTCACCCTTTCTGCACTCCAGACACTGCAAATGTCCCATTTCTGTGTGCATCACCACTGCTCCCAATAGTCTCAAATGCATTCATCCTGGGAAGCTGAAATCTCAGTGCCAGCTGCTTTTATTCAGTTTGGTAACTTTGCTTTGGTCCTTTCTGGAATTCACAGACAGGCTTTATGGAGCCCTCCTAGTTAGCTCAGTGTTTGCTTTAGTGGCCAACACACTGGTTAGTCAATATTTACTGAACACTTGTGGCCCCTGGTCATACCTTACGCCTGCGTAGCCAGTACTGGAGCCTGTGGCCAACAGTGTTACGCCATCCAGGGATGCTTGCAGGAGGAGCAAGCTAACAGGGAGGCAGGAGAGGTGGGGCACACGTGGGTCTGTTCCTGCTTCATCAGGAAAATCTCCGGGAGGTCGGAAAGCTTAGCGACCACCCATCAAGGCTGCCAGAGTGGGTGGGATGTCACAGTTCTGGTGGCTATAGATGTGGTGGCCCAGGGACCCAAAGTCCCTCTCTCCTTCAGTGTTTGCTCTCTGTTTTCCATCTCTCCCTTGAGCAACTTAATTCCATCATTCACAAATACCAAGGGCTGCCTTTATGGATTTAGCGCTCACCTTGTTCCAGTAATGTGCAGTCGGGCACAAAAATTTAGGTAACTCAACAAGATAAAATAGGTATGAAGAAACTGTGATAAAGCAGAGAGTGGGGAGAAGAAAAGGAAAATAAAGATATAATAATAGTAATAATACTATTAATAATAAAGTCTCTGTGTGTATAGACAAGCTCTACACGTGGTTACTTTTTATAAGAACCAAAGAGGAAAGCTTTCAGTTTAAATATTTCTATTATTCAGAATAGAGAGCCAATGGGAGTGTCTGAGTGATTTCATGAGATCTGTTCTTCAAAGCGGCCAGATGCTGTTGGGTGCTGACTTGGTGAGGCTGGTGAGACTGATGCCCCATGCAGGATTTGATAAGCCCTTTGAATATCTTTCAGAATTAAATTCCAAAGCCAAAGGTTTGGCACCAGCCTTTTCCCTTGAACCCAGTGGCATTTGCTTTGCTGCTGGTTGCAGGGGTTTTAACCCTGGGGCAGTTCTGAGGGAGGAGATGAGGATGAGGAGGGCACTTAGTAGAGTGGGGGCGTTTGCATTTCTAGGGCTGGTTGATGTTGGTTGGGTACGGTGGACAGGATTTAGGGTTTCTGTCTCTTGTCTTCTCTTTCCAGCATCTCCCTCATAAAATGCCCAGTCCGGTGTCCTTAAGCCAGTTGTTTTACCCCCTCAGAGCCTGAGCCTCCTCCTCCTTGTATAAGGATAGCATGGGCCACCTCATGGGGTTGTTGTCAGGATTAAATGGTGTGACCCATGGCCCCTTCCTGATGGACAAGGTGGGGATTCTTCTCTTGAGCCTGGGTGGAGGGAATGGGAGTGGACAGCAGGCAGTGTGTCCAGGGAGGGTGGGAGGTGGCAGCTTCTGCTTGTTGAGGCCAGAGAGGTGAACTATGAGTCCTGTCACGGCAGGGACGCTGCCTGTCCTGTTCCCTTCTGGGTGCACAGTGCCTGGCACAGGCTGCACAGTCATTGTCATATACCAGTGCTTGTCAAATACATGGAAAATGGGAGCAAGGAAGTGAGATGGGGCAGGGATGGGTATGAAGAGCAGGACTCAGGAGGAATAGGAACTTTCTAAGTACCCTCTGAAACAGTACTGGCAACCTTGGAAAGAAGGGGGCACCCCATCACTGGGGGCAAGCAAACATCTGTCAGGAGTGTGGGACTGGTACAGGAAGTCTGGTTTGAACTGTTTCCCATCTGTAGAATGAGCTTCCAGCCCCTCCCTGTTTCCATGGGATGGAGGACCCTCTGGCATGTTCCATCTACCTTTCCTTCCCATGAGTGCTGTGCCTGAGGTGTCGGGGACCAGGCCCCTTGGAGGGGCTTGTTCTTGGGTGACCCAGTCAGGTGGAGAGCATGGCAGGGCTGGGCAGGAGGAGTTTGGACAGGATATTTACTCTGGGCCGTGAAGCGTGCGCAAGCTCGGCCCTTCTGGGTATAAATCTTAATTAGGTGGACAGTTAACTTCAGACTCTTATGTGGTTAAGTAATTGTGTGTTCTTTTATGTTCTTGGCTAATGTTAATGTTTTCTCTTTGGGTTTCTGCCCTGAGGTGATTTCACTTCTTTTTCCCCCAAAGGTTTGATAAATAACAACTAAGAAGACAAAAAAGTAAAATCAAAAAACTCAAAGAGAAGCAAATCCCAAACCCGCCTCTTGGGTGAGGCACTGCTACGTCTTTTTTCCATTTGCAGGCTATCTGTGTGGGTTTGGGGAGGGGTGAGAAGGGGAGGAGTGGTTGTGGAGGTTTGTGGAGGGCCTCGGATCAGGAGGAGATTAGCAGGTTCCCTGACTGCATCACGCTCTCTGTGGAGGCTGGATTAGGTCTGTGGTCTGGGCTGGCATGTCTTGAGTGTGACCTGAGACACTGGCCCACCTGCTGACCTTACCACCTTGCCTTGGCAACTTTTGGAGGCAAAGAAAACTCCACAGGGCTCCCTCCCAGGGGCTGGAGCCAGAACCTATACACCAGACCCTGCTTGCCAGAGCCCCCGCCCCGGGAGACAGTACTGGGAAATAGCCAGTGCCCTTCCGGGACCTGGGCTTGTTGCCATCTGTGTCATTTGGGGCAATGTCTCTTATTGGCCTCTGGACCTCTGTCATTCCTGTCTGAGCAATGGGGATAACAGCTTGTGATGGAACTTGACATCCTCTCTGGGCCCCAGCTTTGGTGAAGGAAGGAGTGGGATTAGTTGGTAACAGCAGCCACCATTGGCTGAGTGTCCACTGTGAGTCAGGCCTGTGCCTCGGCCATTTCTGCTCCTCATCCTAATGCAGCAAGGCAAGGGACCATCATGGCTGTTCTACAGATGAAGAAACTGAGGCTCAGAGAGGTGTGACCTGCTCAAAATCACTACTGAGTAAGTGGTGGAGTTGGGATTGGAACCCAGCCATGTTACACTGGAGACTGACATACTCACTGCATGACCCACCCGCTAACGCCCTGCCACCCCAGGCCAGCAGTTTTCCTGATGGTCTACACCCTCAGCTTGGGGATCTCCTGGGTGCTTGTTAGATCTCTGGCCCCGCCCTAGATCCATGGAAGCTTAGCCCTCCCCTGCTATCTGTCTCTAAGATCCCAACATCCTGGGTTCTTCCTGCAACACCTACACAGACACACCCACCCAGCTACACATCTGCTGATGGCTCTGCCCTCTCAGCACTCTGGGTTCAGTGCCACACCCCTTGCATTCTCCCCGTGCCCACCAATTCCATCATCTTAGCTGCGCCACACACCTCAAGTTGACACTTTGCTTTCTATTTTTATTTATTTATTTATTTTTGAGACAGAGTTTCGCTCTTGTTATCCAGGCTGGAGTGCAATGGCGCGATCTCGGCTCACCGCAACCTCCGCCTCCTGGATTCAGGCAATTCTCCTGCCTCAGCCTCCTGAGTATCTGGGACTACAGGCACGCGCCACCGTGACCAGCTAATTTTTTGTATTTTTAGTAGAGACGGGGTTTCACCAGGATGACCAGGATGGTCTCGATCTCTCGACCTCGTGATCCACCCGCCTCGGCCTCCCAAAGTGCTGAGCCACCGCGCCCGGCTGACACTTTGCTTTCTATTATCACCACCTTAGAGTATGATTTTTCACCTTTGGCGCTGCTGACATTTTGGGCTGGATAATCTTTGGAGTGTGTGTGTGCGTGTGTGTGTGTGTGTGTGTGTGTGTGTGTGTGTGTCTCTTCTATGTATGGTAGGATATTT